GTGACAGGTGGATTGCCGCTGCTGTCACCACCGTCGAGCTAGGTGGGCGTGGCTTCAGCAACCTGCTCCCGCCTCTTTGCCCATTTTCGATTATCCGGGAGTGACGCGCTGCCAAGATGGCGACAGCCGCCTCTGCCCAATATTGAGCTTCAGAAATCTACGGGCAACGTCACGGACACTATGTCCATGTTTTTATACAGTCTATGATTACCACACAGACCAACCATTAACGTTCTGTCCGTCACGGACCGCGAGACCTCACCACTTCCTGTGGATTTTACTTTTTTTTTCTGCGACTAATAAAATTTTGGTCGACCAAGCCTCTTCTTGTCGACTAACGGTCAGTCGATTATTAGGGGGCAGCCCTAGAAAATACTATTAAAAAATATATTTTGAAAAAAAAACTTCTTTATTCTATCTGACTTTATATTAATGCAACACAGTAAATGACAACCATGTGTGGTCTCAACACAACAAAAGAAAACAGGGCATTCATCTCCAAAAAATTTTTTTGTCTGGCATTTCATCAAGAACTCTAGGGAGTTACCCTACTAGGTGTATGTTGACGCAACTTAGGATGAAGCCTTCTGGCTGAGAAACAGCCCAAGCCGTGAGGTCACAGGAATTGCCTGCATACCTCAGAGACAGACTGTGTTGTGGCACAGACGGTGTTGGCCTGGCCAAACGGAGCAGTTAGTAAGAAAACTCTGGTTGAGCTCCAGAGATCATGTGTGGAAATGGGAGAAACTTACAGAAGGACAACCGTCACTGTGACACTCCACTGATCTGGGCTTTATAGCAGAGTAGCCAGACGAAAGCCTCTGCTCAGTAAAGACACATGAAAGCCTACTTGGAAAAAAAGCACCTAAAGGACTCTATCTAGACTAGTATCTAAACTTGATTCTCTGGGCTTATCAATTCCAATTCATGTGTGCAGGAAAACCAGACACCGCTCATCACTGGCACAATGCCACCTCAGCAGTGAAACGTGGAAAGCACTGTCAGTTTGGAAGCAAGGCTGCACACAGCAAAATATAAAGATATTCTTAAGGAAAACTGGGTCCAGAACAGAGCTGGGTAGTAACTGATTACATGCAATCTGGAATATGTAATCAGATTCCAAAAATTAAGTACTTGTAAATACATTAAATTACATTTTTAAAATAATCATAATCAGACTACAGTTACTTTTTTATTGATTACATATTATTCACACAATGGCAATAAATGATTCATAATTTATTGATTCTTCCCAATTCCACTTTTTCATATTTTAAATATTCCTCTCTAAAACAGCCTACAGCTGTTTGTTGGACTTTGTTGGACATTCACACAAAGATCAGTCATTAGTCAGTTGACAACACAACATTTGACCACTGATTTATAAATACAATTTCAGTTTAAAGTCCACGTGAACCGGAAGTTGCTGCCGACTTTATTTCAGTGTAGTGACATATTTCCAGCTGAAATGGAATATTGAATAGAGGGCATGGTTTTATTTTTGCGCTCCTCCTCTCTGTCTCTTACTCATAGCAATCTAACGGTTAGAGGGGGTGTGTTTAAGGATATTCTGCCCAAGCCGTCAAACTGTCGTTATCAGAAAAGGAATGCCATTCCAGAGCGGAAGTAAATGTTCAGATTTTGATTAAAGATTACGAAGACAAACAATTTTTTTCAGCGGATTAACTTGCACGGATTAATTGTTCACATCATTACAAGCAATGTGCGCTAGTAAAGTAAATAAAGTCCATTTTGATTTCATGCGGACTTTAAAGAAGTGTTTGAACACTGCTTCAACTACTTATGAACACATACATTTTTATTTGAATTATCACTCAGTAGGTTATTTAACCATCCATCACTGTGTCTTTGTAAAGCTTTTGTCTTTTAAACACATTAAAATGTACAAATTCACATTATTTCTTATTTACATGTAATGCAGGCATTCCCAAACTTTGTCAGCTGAACCTCTTTTCCCTAATAATATATTTACTTGAAGTGCCCCTGAGATTTTAAAATAAATATTTAATAATTAAGTATCACATTTGCATGTTCATGGTTCTCTGACGTTAGTTATGGTCACATGACATGCAGGCGAACAAATAAAATATAAAAAATTTTTAGTAAGTGTTTTATTTTGACTGATGTTTTTCTAAAATGACTTATTTTAAGTAAAAAAAAATTATAATTTCATTAATTATTGGGCTTTCATTAAACTCACAAAATCCCTGCAGTTCCTTTATGAACCCCAGTTTGGCAAACCTTGACATAATATAATGTTTAATGCAGTTCATGTTATTAATTACAATGAATGAAATGTATTTTCTTACTCTTTGTATTTTTATATCAATATGGTACAAGATTACCCTCAATGTGATAAACGAGATAGGTAAAAAAAAAGTAATCTAAAAGTAATCAGAAAGTAGTCAGCTTATATTACCTAAAATGTGTAATGTAATGGATTACGGTACTAACTACAATTTCTGTCATGTAATTTGGAATCAGAAACGGACTACAATTTCTAAGTAATCTACCCAACTCTGGTCCAGAACACTCAGAACCTCAGATTGAGCTAAAGTTTCACTATCCAACAGGACAATGACCCTAAACACACAACCCAGACGATGAAAGAGTGGCTACAATTCAGAATCCCAACCAGAATCCGAGTGTCCCAGTCAGAGCCTGGACATGAACCTAATAAAAACTTGAATATGGCTGCCCACTGATGCTCATCACACAACCTGAGGATCTAAACAGAAAAATGGCAGAAAATCTGCAAATCCAGGTGTGCAAAGCTTGTCACATCATACCAGAAAAGACTTAATTGCTGCGAAGTAGAGTTAAGAGTCTGAATTGCGCAACATGAAAATGTGAAAAATGAAGGGTCTGAATATTTTCTGAATGAACTGTATACACTTGTTGTGTACTCCTGACAATCTTTCTCTCCAAAACCGACCAAAAATAACTCGCAGGGGTGATTTTTTGACCAACAGGACGAAAGCTTTTGATGCATCTTGAAATCTATTCTATAGGAAATTCTCATGTTCCATATTAGAGAATTATTAAAACCACATGCTATAATATTACACATTAAGCAAACACTCTCTGCAACCCAAAGTATAAATGACAGCAGTGAGATGGGTGGAAACAGGCTTCAAATGGAAAACAAATGGATATGTGGTAGACAAACTCATGTCTCAGTTGACACTGTGGCCTATGTGTTGAAAGCTCAACATCCACACAGCACTTGATAGAGATACTTGAAACATTTATGTCCTTGCTTTTTGTTGGGGTAAAAAAACGAGGCCGAAACCCACCTGGTTGGTCCCTCTGAGCCTCCCCTGTGGTCGGCTGTCTGGCGGGTACAGTCCTGCTCCTTGAGGGGCCGACAGTGGACTCTAACTGGTGAAACTTGTGCACTCTGTCCCTCGCCAGAATTGCATCCTCTTTTGTTTTGTAGCCTAAACGTGGCCAGCCCAGGGCTTTTTTTTGCATTATGCTATCAATCTCTGCCATCAGACGTGTCTGGGTTCGGGCCGCCTCTGCGGGGCTGTACTTATGCATGTGGACAGCGTCCTCCCTCTCCCCCAGCAGTTTAGAGAGAAGGGAATAGAGGTCACCTGCACAGGAGGAAACAGAGGAGGAGAAGCGGAAAGACAAAAGAGGAATGGTGGTGTGAATAGAAAAGCGAGAAAGTCATTTGGAGTGGAGGAAAGAAGGCTGTGCTGGTGGTGTTATAAGTATTTGATATACTCGATGGCTGGGTATACTGTGATATTTTTGTTTGTCCTTTACAATTGTTGCTTAGCAGAGTGTATGACATGCCCAAGTGAGATCTTGTGTAATCGGCAGACTGTGCAACATAAAGCCTGGTCCCACGCAGTACATTTATTCTGATAACGCTGACTGGCTGTTTTAGTGTTCTGGCATTCTCACGGTCACGCAAAATAAAAAGGCTGCACATCATTTATCAAGCCTGAAAAGATTATATCCAAATTTGAAACTTATGTCATGCCCATCTACAGGGTATGTGCAGTAGTGTTGTCAAAAGTACCGACTTTGGTACTGAAATTTTAAAAACGTCCATTTCCCGCTAACATTTGAGCGCTGTTAAGCGGATTGAGCGCTGTTAAGCGGATTCTTAAACAGCGCTGATTGGCCATTGTGTTCACGCGCTCAACAGATATGACTGTGATTGGCTACTAGGGCTGTGTATCAAATCATCTTAACATTGCTGGTAGGTTATCATTGCACAAATTAACGAACTCTCTACGTTTAAAAAAAAAAAATTAGAAGAGTTCTAAACTAATGCACTGTATTCACTGAAGGCTACTTCAAGCACACACATTTAGTCAGATCACGCTGCGCGCATAGACATTCTTTTTAGCATTTAGACAAACTTTTTAGCACTGCCCCGCAATTTTATCAATAAAATAGCTTAATAGCTCAAGAGCTGCATTATCTTTCTCAACAAAGAGCTGGTAACATCGTTGTTTCTAAAAGAATTAAAGCCACAGCTTCACTGTTAATAGAGAAACACGGCAAAACG